TCATCAAGAGCTCGTTGGTCTCATAGAAACAAAAATCCCAAACACTGAACACCAGGCAGGGCTTTACCTGCCACGTGAACGTATTTTGTGGCACAGAAATAAGTTTATGATTGATCATGTTTTTAAGTGACTACAAAGGATTCCATTTGTTTAGATATGCTGAAGAGAACAACCCACAGAGTCAGGAATGAGGGCAGTGGTGGCTGGGAGCAAGGGAGAATGACCGAGAGGTTTGGCGGATGGATACAGAGGCTTCTAGGGCCGCGACACACGTGTGGTGGTTCGAGAGAGCGGCTGTACATTGGGAATGCGACGTGAGTGGCACTTTAAAACAGTGAGACAGGCTTCACCTCAGTCTTTAAAAAACGTGTTCTCGCTGTCTATACGTAAAGCCTTCAGGTCTGGAACTGAACCTACTCCTGAGTTAGGAAAACCCAGCCATTTAAGATCAAGGGGGAGCCTTTCCCCCAGGACCCTAGAAGGACCGGAGACAGGAAACACGGGAGGCAACTCTGTAAGTGGGGGTGCGTGGAGGGGTTGGCAGGGGATGAGTGAAACAGCGCGTGCACGAAGTGTTGCGTGGACCACTGCTGGTCTTCTCTGCAGCCCTTCAGCTGATCTGCAAGGAAAACCTTTCACAAACCAAATGAAAACGGAAAGGCCTCGAGCGTGGGAGATTTACAAAAAGTCTGTAAAACGGCGTGTGTGTGTGTGTGTGTGTGTGTGTGTGTGAAGGAAAATGACTAGAAAGGAGCAGGTTAAAATTGTAACAGCGGACTACCCCCTGATTGGTGGGACTTAAGGGATGTTTAGTTTCTTCTGGGCAACCGTTTGCACCCTCTAAATCAGTGGTTCTCAACCTTCCCAATGCCGAGGCCCTTTCACACAGTTCCTCATGTTGGGGTGAACCCCCCCACCAACCAGAAACTTATTTTTGTTGCTACTTCATCACTGTCATTTTGCTATTGTCATGAATCGGGTGAATCCTGTGAAAGGGTTGTTCTACCCCCAAAGGGGTCTTGACCCACAGGTTGAGAACCGCTGTTCTAAATGATCGGCAGGACACACAAACGAACTGTGTAGAGAGCAGGGAGAAGTTCAACAAAGGAGCAGTGAATCCGAACGGAGGTCCCAGGGCTTGGGACAGCTGCAGCTGCACCTGGGCCAGGTGGGAACAATTGTCATAGGACTGACTCTGTGGTTCCGAGGGCGCTTAGACGAGGAGCTCTACGCCTGGATGGCCTGCTAGGTAAATTCATGTGTGTGTGTACGTGCACAGTGTTCTGGGAGGAGGGCCTGCGTGTTCATCAGCCTCCCTTGGCTGTGAGCCTCAGCTGTTTAAATAACACCTGGATTCAGAGACAGAAAGGAATGCCTAGGGTGACATGACCCTCGGCGCTTGGACCCAAGTGCCTCCTGGCGTGAGAATGGGCCTAGAGGGTGAACACTGCAGTGACTTCACTAGGAGACTCCAGGGGGCAGTAGTCCCGGGCTCAGGGTCAACCCAGCATTGAGTTTCACAGGAAGTCAGAGGAGACAGCAACCCCTGGGCTTTCTCCTCTGAGGTTCCTGCCACCATTTGTCTTCGGTCCCCCAGTCTTTGGGGGTGCTGAGGCATTGCCCATGCTGACCGGAGTTCCCAGTGAAATCAGGGGGTCAGGGCGTCCCCCCCTGAGAGCAGAACATGGCCATGAACTGAGAGCCACACCCTCGGCCTGAGATGGAGGGAAAGCTGGGCAGAGGGGTGCTCCTGCTGCCCCCACCGTAGAGAACACAGGGAAATGGAGGTTATCACTCTCGGCCGGAGAAGGGCTTTGAGGGAGTGTGACCTTAAAAGGGGTCAGAAGGATTTCACCCCGGGGCCTGGAGCTAGTCTGTAAGGATGGGAGGGGCTGGTTCTTGCTGAGGCCTTGTTCCCTTCTTACCTGTGATGTTGAACCAGAAGAGGCCAGGGCGGCCCTCCACACTGATGACCCCCACCATGTGGTTCACAGGGTCCGTCTCCATCACTGTAAAGCTGTAGAGGGCTTCCTCAAAGACCAGGGCTATGGAGGAGGGTTGGGGCTGGGGGATCCACTCAATGTGCAGCCGGACACTGGCCGAGAGCAGTGGCTGTCCACTATCTGTGGCCCTGACCTGAAAAGTAGCAGAAATGGGAAATGAGGCTTTGTCTGGAGGGTGAAAGCCAAGAGACAGGAAGACCAAGGCAGCCCCGAATGAAGCCAGGCATGAGACAGAGGGCCCGGGACCCCCTCACGATTTGCTCATTCACTCAATGCACTGTTATACAGGTGTTAATCCAGCTGCTGCAGCCATGGTGGCAACGCCTCATAGGACCTGTGCTTTATAACCTCAAACTTAGTGGAAACATAATAAGAGCATTATTAGTTGAAGGTTGACTGTATGCTCATCACAATGTGAGATTCTGCCCATGTTGTGTCCTTTACCCTTCGTGTCAGGGATTGAATCCGGTGTCTCCCCGCCCCTACCACCAAATTTATGCGTCAACTTGGCTCATCCACAGTTCCCAGTATTGTGTGGTTTTTTGTGTGATCGGATATAGTTATCCTCTGTTTCATGTGTTGGGAACCCTAATCTCTATGTGCTAATGAGGCAGGATTAGTGTGGGATATATCTTAAACCATAACCTTTTAAGGCTATGAATTAAGACTCAAGTCAAACACTCAAGACCCACCCTTACTCAAAGTCATTCCCTTGCCTGACTCACATCTTTTATCTTACAAGATAAAAGAAGAGGAAGCAAGCCGAGAGGAGAGGCACTAACTACCACGGAGTAAGAAGATCCCAAGACAAAGCAGGTCCATCAGGCTCAGAGAACCTCCTGACCCAGGGAGAGATGGATGCCAAGACACATGGAGATCTCCAAGGAATGATGCCCACGTATGCGGAAAGGAGACAAGAAACTTCCCCTAGAGGCTGAATTCGACGTCTAACGCTCTGCCCTGGTGGCATCGTGGCTACGTGGTGAGCTGGTCGAAACCACCAACCATTCTGTGGGAGAAAGCTAAAGCTTTACAGGGCCAGGAGCCCACAAAACAGTTCTACTCCGCCCTATAGGATCCCTATGGGGTGGAATCAATTCAATGGCAGCGAGTGTGAGTTTCGGAGTACCCTCCTAAACATGAGAAAGCGCATTTCTGTTCAGTAAGGCCATCCACCAGTGGCATTTCTTCAGTAGCAGCACTAAGACCCTTTCCAATAACCATAAGCACAATACACTAGAAGTTATCTATCCCTCACTATTACCAGGCCCTGTTTTATAAGCTGTATGTGCACTGTCTAACTCAATCCTCACAACAGTCCTCTAAGAGAAGCATCGTTATCATTTCCCTTTCACAGAAGGGCTCGGGGGCTCAGACTGAATTCACTTGCTTGGGATTGTGTGTCTGGCAGGGTATTAGGCTGGGGTTGCACCAGGCTATCTGATACGAGAGTTCATGGCCTAGCCACTTGCCATATTGGCTTTCTACAAGGAAACTATTCTTAGACCCATTTTACAAACAATAAAAATAAGACTCGATATTCCAAATTCACACAGGCATAAGTGGCCATGCTGGAACCAAGGCTTATCCTGACTCCAAAAATCCATGCACCTTTCACTAGAATCCTTATCTCCCAGAATAGAGGAGGTTTCCCAGGCTAGAACTTTATTGCCCTCAAAGCAACAGGCCCCAGCTTCTGATCCTTTGGCAAAGTTGGGAATCCGGTTTCTCTGGGAGACAGCCTGGAGGAGAAGTACCACCTCCATGTCTTCTGGCTGTCTCGCTCCCTTCTTGTTCAGTTCCACTGAGCTGGTTCCAACTCCGAGCAACGCTCTGTACCCACAACAGAGTCCTGCTGGGTTCCGTGCCATCCTCACCATCACTGCTATAGTTGGGTCATTGTTGTAGCCCCTGTTTCTGTCCTTCTCATTGAAAGCCTCCCTCTTTTTCCACCAACCCTCTTCTTTACCAAGCATTGAGTCCCTTTCCAGGCACGGTCCCCTCCTAAACACATGTCCAAAGCACACGAGACAAAATCCTGCCACCCTCCTTTCCATGAAACCCTCTGGCGATGGTTCTCCTGAAACAGATCCGTTCATTCTTTTGTCCACGGTATATTTAATAATCATTAACAGCAACATAATTCAAAGGCACCCATTCTTCTTTGGTCTTCCTTATCCCATGTCATGCTTTTGCATGCATGTGAAAGTACCATAACTTGGGTCAGGCACATCTTAATCCTCTAGATAACATCTTAGCTTTTGAACATGTTAAAAAGGTCTTGTGCAACCCAGGAACAAGGGAATGACAAGTGATCCAAAACCAGTGGTAAGGAGGGTATAAGAGGCCTGGTAGGGCTTGAGAAAAGGCAATGTAACTGAGAGAAATTACTGAAACCTAAATAAAGGTTAGCATTATAGTGGGACAAGAGGAAAGTTAAAGGAAATAGAGGAAAGAATTAGGAGGATCTGTCTAAATATAGGCATGTCCATATGTAAATATATTTTATATGACGATGGTGAAATATACATATGTGCATATATTTACAGGTTTAGTAAATATATTAAGCTAGCAGATGCACATTGGGCCTCCATTCAAGTACTCCTTCAATGCAAGAACACTTTGTTCTATTAAACTGGCATTCTGTGATGCTCACTTTCCTGACACAATCAGTGAAGACAAAGCAGGTGCATAAGCAAATGTGGTGAAGAAAGCTGATGGTGCCCAGCTATCAAAAGATATTGTGTCTGGGGTCTTAAACACTTGAAGATAAACAAGCGGCCATCTAGCTGAGAAGCAACAAAGCCCACATGGGAGAAGCGCACCAGGCTATGTGATCATGAGGTGTCGATGGGAATCAGGTATCAAGCACCAAAGAACAAAAAATCATATGATTGTGAATGAGGGAAGTTCGGAGTGAGGACCCAAAGCCCATCTGTAGGCAACTGGACATCCCCTTACAGAAGGGTCACGGGAGGAGACGAGCCAGTCAGGGAGCAGTGTAGCAACAATGAAACATACAACTTTCCTCTAATTCCTCAATGCTTCCTCCCACCCCGCTATAATGATCCCAATTCTACCTTACAAATCCAACTAGACAAGAGGATGTACACTGGTACACATAAGAGCTGGAAACACAGGGAATCCAGGACAGATGATCCCCTCAGGACCAGTGGGAAGAGTGATGATACCAGGAGGGTGGAGGGAGGGTGGGGTGGAAAGGGGGAACTGATTACAAGGATCTACATATAACCCACTCCCAGGGGGATAGATAAGAGAAAAGTGGGTGAAGGGAGACATCGGGCAGTGTAAGACATGATAAATAATAATAATTTATAAATTATTAAGGGTTTATAAGGGAGGAAGGGTACAGGAGAGAGGGAAACAAACGAGGAGCTGATACCAAGGGCTCAAGTAGAAAGCAAATGTTTTGAGAATGATGGCAATAAATGTACAAATGTGCTTGACACAATGGATGAATGGATGGATTGTGATGAGTCGTATGAGCCCCCAATAAAATAATTTAGAAAGTAATGATAAAAAAACTCAAGCTAGGGGAAAAAAAGGTCTTGTGCAGCAATCTTGCTGTAGTAGTTACATAATCTGTTGTCGATTTGAGGCTATTAAGAGCAAAGGGGTGGAGGTTAGCCTGTCAGTCTGGTTGCACCTTGATGACCTCATTTGGAGGCACTAAGGAGATAAATAGCTGACTGGAGGCAGGACACATGCTCACTTCCTGCGAGACATCCCTGCTGACAAGACACATGGAGCTATGCAAATGCCCTGGAGCTGGAGGACCCATGTGGAGATCCCTGACAGAGCTGAGATGTCTCACTGCCCCTGGATCCACAAGACTTTCTACCCACTAGCTTGTGATCTTCCTGCATTCAGCATCATTGCATGTGTTGCATGAGTTTGAAGAGGAATTTGTACATTGGTATCGGATATATGGGCTAATATCGGATTTATGGACTTGATCTGGACTGGGCTGGGATGTTTTCTCAATACACAATTACTCGTTTATATAAAGCTCTTTCTTAAACACATATGAGTGTCTATGAATATGTTTCTCTGGTTTATCCGGACCAACACACTTGCCCAGTGCCATGCGTCATTCGATTTCCTGACTGCTGCATCCATGAGAATTGAGTGAGTGTGCTTCCAAGTAAAATGAAGTCCTTCTATGTTTTCCCCATTTGTCATCATGCTGCTGGCTGGCTCCGCTGGGGGCATTTGCTTAGATTCTTTATGTTGAGATGTAACCTGATCTGAATGTTGGCGTCTCTGACCTGCAGCCAGGGCGTCCCGCCCTGCTCACTTTCAGCAAGCAAGGGTGTGTCCTCTGAACCTAGCAGGCTGTTTATGACTTTTCCTATCATATCAAGCTGTTCTTCATATTCTCAAAAAATTCTCTGCCATTGAGTTGATTCCAACTCATAGTGATCCTACAGGACAGAATAGACTAGCCGCTGTGGGTTTCTGAGGATGTAACTCTCTAGAGGAGTGGAAAGCCCTGGTTTTTTCCTGTGGAATGGCTAATAGTTTTGAACTGCTGACCTCGTAGGTAGTAACCTAATATGTAACCGACTACCCTACCGGGATGCCTTCTCTTCTTCATGTAGTCCAAACGATCTGTTCAGCACGCAGAATGACTAGTCTGCAGAAAGGACACCACCCTGATTTTACACCGCGCAGTGTGCCCTTATTCTGAGCAAGGGGAGCGGTATCCCACTGTATCCCTCCTGTGCCACCCCAAACACTGCCAACCATTGAAACCACCTCTCCCTCGGACCGCCATCCATGTACTCACCGTTAGGATGTTGTACGCCCCCGCTGCAAACGTGCTACTAGAAGACACCACGCCCGTGGTGGGGTCGATACTGAAGCCCCCCTCATCACTCTCCTCGATTCTGTAAGTGACCTTGCCATTTAGACCCTCATCCAAGTCTGAAGCCACCAGCCGGTACACAGGCCGTGGGGTTTCCTGCCTCAGCCTCTCTGGAAGGCGGACATTGAAGAGTTTGTGGGAGAACACAGGTGCGTTGTCATTGACGTCCAAGACGCGAACCACCACCCTTGAGGTGGATTTGAGGGGTGGCTCCCCGTGGTCCAGCACAGTCACCTGGGGAAGGAAGGGAACAGGGACACCTGAGTTGCCAACGGCAAAACACTGCATGTACTGCAACCCGCGATCAATTGACCCCTCCTCTGGACCTCTGGACCAGGTTGTTCTTTGGTTCTGGCTTATTATTTTATTACCATAATCTCACCTACTTAGAACTTAGGCAGCCTCGCCCATGGGAAAGCCGGTGGGAATGGAGAATGAAACCAGAAAGAGCCAGAGGAAGACACTCTCGGGCCCAACCTGCCACTCTTTCCTCAGGAAGGCCCTGGGTCATTGCTGAGACCACTGCCTTTCCACTTGCTTGGAATTCTCACAAGATTTGTACCTGGGTTTCCGGAAGTGACTTGAGGTTGGAGAAAACAACCAAGGAGATGTTTATGAAGGAGTGGTTAATACCCCTTGAGCCCACCGTGCCCTCCAAGGCATGAAATGAAAGCAAAATGATTTCAGAGTCAGGAGTTATTTCAGGCAGGACAAATTGTCCCAGACATCACTAGTCCCAAGGCATTGTGAGAGATAGGATGTTTCCACCCAAAATGGTTCCAAATTTTAAAAGCATGTTGGTATTTAGAAATTAAATATTGCTGACCTGAGGAGAATGAGTTAGTCCCTAGGAGCATTAGAAGACCAGCTAGCTGCTACTTCCCAGTCAAACCTGCTTCTTACAAAGTGGGGAGAAGGGGCAAATCTTC